GGCTGTTAAAGGGAAAGGATCTTAGTGTGTCACCCTGTGGCTCTGTGGTCTGCGGAACACCATCTACTTCATTATTCACCCCACAACTGTTTTTTGGCTGTTGATTCCATGCTGGAGCTGGGCTAGCTGCACAGGCCCGAGAATGATGAAGTCTGCCTTAAGGACACAACTACAGGAAGTAAAATACTAACAAACCCAGTGATTAGAAAAAAAAGAGGAGAGGAAACAGTGGAGGTGGGGGGATAGAAAATGGAAACATGTGCTTCTACAAAGTGAAGAACAATAGAAGAATAAAGGAGAGAAAATAAGAGATGAGGGGAACTCCTTAAAGGAAACCGGTTACCAAGCATATTTCTTACAAAGGGCTGTGGAGATTTAAGTAGATTTCTTGCTATTTGTGTATCTAAGATCTTGTGTTGTAAATATTAAGAAAGAAGTATCAAGAATTGCAAGTAATTTTTATGCAGAAGCAAAATTGAAATAAGGGAAGAAAGCCATGTAAATGTTGTGGCTTGGCATACAATTTCTCCATATCTTTTCCTATAAATTACAAAAATGGTACATCCCATTTATAGATGTCTATCGTGTGCCAGGAACTATGGCAAACTTGCTAGGTAATTTACTGCTCTTAATCCTGTGTATACCTGTAAAGTCTGTATTATTTACTATCGTCTTTTCACAGGTGAGAACATAAAAGCTTGGAGAAGTTGAACAATTTGCCTCAGGTCACACAGTTTGCCCGTTGAGGATCCCAGACTTAACCCAGATCTGCCTGAGTCTAAAGGTCAAGTTGTCAGTCATAAACACACTACTTCCTCCTGTCTTTCCCCTGAGTAAAGTCCGAGTTACTTTTTCTCATGTTTAGTCTATGACGAAGTTCCAGCTCTGTGGCTACAAATAGCATCGCAGACAGTTGCCTTGGAAATGAGTTATTATCATAAATTAAAGCTAGGCGTGGCTTACCGTGTCGGATATGGAGTTCTTAGAAGGGAAACCTGCCATGCTGATAAATAAGGAAGAAAAACAGTAAGAGAATATGTAAGTAGAAAATAGAACATCTCTTCAACAAATTTACATTCATGTTTCACAAATATCATTCTGGAAAAGGAATGCTGTATACAGGAAAGAATGAAACTTGGAAAGTTGCTTAAATACCTTCCTTGTTCAATTGCAAATCTTCCGGAAGTATCTGACTTTTCCTTTTTCTATTGGTTTAATCATGCAAAACGCAACCTTTCATGTAAGCCAATCATTCACACACTGAAGACTACTCAAGGCAGACCTGGGTCCCCAGTGGTAAATTCTGCTGTATGTCAAGCTCTGTCACGAGTAGCTTCCAATCCTTCACTTCTCTCCCCATCCTCTTTGTTGAGATAGGGTCTCACTCTGTAGCTGAGAACAACCTCAGGTTCGGGGTCCTCTTCTCTGGGCCTACAGAGCGCTGGGCTTACACCTATGAACTACCACATGCAGCTTTGGTCTCCTTGAACTTGAGAATTAAAAAGTTTCTTGCAAACATATAGGATTGTAGAAGCTATGGTAACAAGGAGCCACCACAACCGGTTCGAGTCCTGTTCTACCGAACCGCTCACTTCTGTGAACAGCGTCACTGTAGCTTTCTCATTTCGGAAAGGCAACCAGAAAGGAACAGACACGCTCCAGTAAGTGTGCCTGTGAGTGTTACCCAACCAACAGCGGTTTCACATGAGCAGCCATACTTCAATTGATGACGCCAATCTACTTAAAATTATGAGAGGCAACTGATTCCCAGATCCCATACTTCCTCAGAATGCAAGTACGACCAGCTATTTGTTCTGCTTGGGAGGACTGTGTCAACTCACATCTCTTACAGTAATAAGCTTTGTTTGTTTGTTTTTTTCAGATATTGAATAATAGTCTCTTGTCTTTTGACAGTTTTGGAGGTTTTTTTTTTCCCAAGATTGTTTTGAATACTCCTCAGTTGATAGTATTGCGGGTGACCATGAGGTCAGCAGCGGCACTTGCTGGACACCTTGTACCCAAATCCTGCATATTACTCTTCGGGGTACTGCCAAGTGATCTAGGCCTGCTCAGACTCTGCCATATGCTGAGTTCTTACTGCAGACTCATTTTGTTATTCTAAGATTTGTAGACAAATAGGCTTTTGTTTAGATTTAGGTTTTGTAGAAAGCAATTAGACTTTTTTGGGTTAATGATGCACCATACGGTAAATAATTAGACTGAGGTCTTTGTGCAATAAGATAAGTAGACCTTTCAGTTTGGAGGTGAGCCACTTAGCGTTTTTAGATGATTAACCTAATTCCTCTCCTGCTTGGGGTCTCCCTTTTGATCCTGTCTGTCCCCACACAGTCTTCCTTGTTTTTGATTGTTTGTTTTTGTGGCGTGTATAGGGAGTGCTCTCTAAGGAGTACGTGGACATGTGGGCCTCGTGACTTTCCAAGGCAAATAATCAAGTCTTGGGGGCTGATGCTGTAAGTCTGTTAGACCAGTGATCAATTGTTAAGGCAGGGGAGGGGCCTTGGTCTGGGATCAAGCATAAAACCTTCGATGATGGCTTCTTGTTATCTGATAATTTGGGAAGGCAGCTCACTTTGCTTTACACATCCCCGGAGTCAAGTATCATCAGGTTGAAATCTGTGTGGTTCCCTCACTCTCTAGCTGGTTGGGGTTCATCATTCACCTAAACCTTATGCTGTAAACTGACCACAATACCCTCTTTTCTGTATGGGTTACAGGTTTGCTCATATCTACACGTCTCTTCCTGAAAGGGCCTCTGTTGCCCTTAGGATGAACTATAGTCCAAGGCTGCAGCTGTAGCTCAGTGGTAGAGCACGTGTCTTGAACATATTATGTCTTACATTCAAGCCCTTTTATTGCTAGAAAAAGAGATGCACTGTAATTTAAAAAGGTAACAGTACACAGCAGAAGAAAAAAATTTGATTTGGACTAATAATACATCTGACATGTATGAATATTTAAATTAATATCTTTAAGGGGAAGTCTAATGAATAAATAAACAACAAACAGGAGGAAAAACACCAGTAAAATGTCACCTTCTTTAGTGGTGTGCTAAGGTCTCAGGAAATCATTCTAATACCAAGAGAATTTCTCCAAGACTTCTCGAGCTTTGGAAGCCTCTCTTGTTATTCTTTGAAGAACAACATTTTTTCTCTTTTCCTACTCAGCTTTATCTGGTCTTCTAAGTCAGCTTTGCCTTCTCTGGGTAATGACAATTATATTGCATTTTTTTTTTTGGTTACAGGACAGATTAAAAATTTTCATCTAGCTACATAATGGCTATAATTAAAAACGTTCATAAAAGAGGGGGGCTAGAGAGAAGACTCAGTGATTAAGAGCACCTGCTGCTTTTGCAGTGGGTCCCAGCACCCACATTGGATGGCTTACTATGGTATATCACTCCAGTTCCAGCGATTATGATGTCTTCTCTGGCCTCTGCAGGCACCCATACACACATAGTGCGCGCGCACGCGCACACACACACACACACTAAATATATAAATAAACAAACAAATAAATAAATAAATAAATAAATTTCCCCAAGTGTTTAGAACTCAAGAAGACAATTGTTACATAATTAATACTTTGTTATCTATTTGTTTCCTTTACTTTAAAAATTTATTTATGCTCACATAGGAGATGGGATATGTATCCTCTAGAAATTGGGGATCTGTAGACATAGATGTAGATGCTGTGGATACAAGGGTCATAGAAAGAGTGAGTGTTCTTCATTAGTGAAGGGACAGAAGGACAATTGTGTGCAATCTGTCCATGGAGGCTGCTCAGACAGATGGATCCCTAGAGGTCCCTTCCTCTGAACTAGCAGAGGGACCAAGGCAGCTTTGCTTTTGCTGGGTCAGCAGCTGTATCTACCACTAATCTCTTTCCTGTGCAACATCATATTCCACGGGGGAAAAGCTTAAAGTCCTTTGAAGAACAACTAATACTTCCCAATAAAAACAAAAAGGAAAAAAAATCATCTTGAAATAAAAATGACTGGCTGTGCCAGATGCAAAAGAATGAGAGACACATTTCATACTACACAGTGGACCTCAGAAGACTCAAGGAAAAATATGATTCATTTACTCCTGTTTATTAGAAGCCCTCAAATAAGGAGCATTGGCAAAACTCCCAAGTCCTTCTTCCCCAGTTCTTATCTTGTAGTTGATAGACCCCTTGATTGAAAGAATAGCCATTTCTTCTCTGTAATACAGCATCTACGAATTTAATATGTAGGGTTTACTTTACAAACTGCCAGACAAAATATCCTGCCAAAGGATTACTTTAAATCCCAGAGAGCTGAACGTGTTGATGTCCTCTGTAATTCAAGCATTTGGGAAACTGGGTCAGGGGATCATAAATTTGAGACCAACCTGTGTTGCATAGTGAAACCCTGTCTCAAAAAAAAATTTCTAAAAAATTACTTAACTGCAATGATATGGTTAATAATATGCCTATATAATGCAAGATTCAGATTGCACAGATACGGTCAGCTTAATTTCAGCAAAGCCCTTAAAAATCTTCATGAAAGCTGTTGAGATGGCTCAGTGGGCAAAGGCACTTGCCACCAAGCCTCATGACCTGGGTTCGAGCCCTGAGAGCCGTGTGTTGGAAGGAGAGAATCAACTCCTGCAAGTTGTCCTCTGATCTCCACACCCACATTGTGACATGCATAATCTAATTATGACACGTGGGTACCCTCATACACACACACACACACACACACACACACACACACACACACACACACACACACAAAGTAAATTTAAAAGTTTTCTGTCTTCTACCATGTATAAAAATAACTCAAAATGGATTATAGACCTTGAAGTAAGTCCTACAACCATAAATTCTAGAAGAAAAATATGGGGAAATTTTCCAAATGTTGGACTTGACAATAATTTCTTGAACATGACATTAAAAACACAGATAATTAATGCAAAGAGAGATAAATTGGACTATATCAGACTTAGAAAATGGATATCATACTTACCTGGCAGGGGAGATACCATGATCAAGCAGGTGGTTTTCCTGGGCGAGGCTCACCCATTGCACTCGGGATGTGTTGACCGCTGTGATTTCTCCAAATGCGGGAAACTCGACTGCATAATTTGTGGTAGTGGGGGATTGCGTTCGTACTCTCCCCTGGAAAAAAAAAAAAGAGAAAATGAATATCAAAAGACATAACAGAGTTAAAGGAATTCAAGAAAACATTTATGCATCGTATCTCTGATAAGAGATATATAGATTATGTAATAATATATGAAGAGCTCACATGACTCAACAGTGAAAAACTCTATATGGGCAAAGACTTGAGTGGGCATTTCTACTGAGGTATATACAGGTGGATAGCAAACATGAGAAGATGTGGAACATTACTAACAGAAATATGACTCAAATTACAGCTAGAGATCATCTTAGATCCATTTGGATGGCAGCTATTAAAAGAAAATTAGGTGATTGTATTTTAATTTAAAGTTCTTTTGGAATTAAATAAATAGATTTTTTTTTAAAAATGAAGAAAGAGCCAGGCGGTGGTGGTGCATGCCTTTAATCCCAGCACTTGGGAGGCAGAGGCAGGCAGATCTCTGTGAGTTCGAGGCCAGCCTGGTCTACAGAGTGAGATCCAGGATAGGCACCAAAACTACACAGAGAAACCCTGTCTTGAAAAACCAATAAAAAAAAAAAAAAAGGAAGAAAGAAATCCAGAAGGGTACTGGAAAAGATCTAGACAAATGAATACTCGTGCTCTGTTAGTGAGATTAGAGGACAGAGCAACAGTTATGGAAGACAATCATGAGGCTCTTCAAAGTATTATAAGTTCAAGTAACCTGTGATTCAACAATCATTCTTATGCATATGTATACCAAAGGATCAAAGGCAGTGATTTAAAGAGAGTTTACAAATGTGGTATAAAACACACACATACAAACACATGCACCCACACATGAACATTCTATTGGTTTCAAAGAAAATGGCCCCCAAAGGGAGTGGCACTATTAGGAGGTGTGGCCTTGCTGGAGGAAGTGTGTCACTTTGGTGGTGGGCTTTGAGGTTTCCTATGTTCAAGCTCTGCCCAGTGTCACAGTTCACTTCCTCTTGCCTGTGGATCAAGGTGTAGACTCTCAGCTACCTCTCCAGCACCATGTCTGCCAAAATGCCACCATATTTCCCACCATAACGATAGTGGACTAAACCTCTGAGACCTTGTCTCAAAAATAAATAAAATAAAATAAAATTAGGTCGTTTAAAAAAAAATAAATAATGGGCACATTAATTACTTGATTCCTTGATTATGTCTAAAAATAACAGCTACATTAAAGGTAGAAGCAGAAAAAGAGGAATTCTAGATGCTGGTATACAATAATGTTGATATTAAATACTTTCAAAGTGCTTTTGAGCTCTGGGAGTTCAAAGTCAACCTGGTCTACATAACAAGTTCTAGGACAGCCAGGAATACATAAAGAGATCTTTCCTCAAAAAAACAAAACAAAACAAAATTTAAAAAATTTCTTTAGGTAAGAACTTCATAAAAACAATAGCATAATCATAAAAAAATCCACAGGGGAAGTTTATGAATTCCATAACGAATACACAAAATAGGGGTGCTTATTCTTTTAAAAACCTTTATTTTTTTAGTGATATAATTTTGGGGACAGGGTCTCACTACGTATCTTTGGCTGGCCTGGAACTCACTATGTAGATGAAGCTGGCCTTGAACTCACAGAGACCTCCCTGCTTCTGCCTCTCAAGTGTACCATTGTGCCGGGCAGATGTTTATATCTTTCCAAATTGCGTTTAGTTATATGTAGGTTTGCGTCTGTCTGTGGGTATGTACGTTTGAGTGCTGGTGCCTGCAGATCCCTCGGAGCTGGAGTTAATGATGGCTGTGAGCCACCTGCCATGAGTGCTGGGAACTGAACTTAGGGAAAGGTTTGCGCACCCTGATAGGTTTCTCCGCCTACGCAGCAATCCGAATCGACCAAGTCAGACCAAATTAGAAAAGCCCTGGTTTAATGGGTAAAGTGTTCCCAGGTGATTCTTCAGCCCCTGCAGAGAGGAAATGGGGATGAGAGACCAGAAAACCATGTGTCTGTTTTCTGGTATGCAGTTTAAATACCCTATGGGAGTGGTCTTGAGCCTTGAGCATCTCTAGGGGAGGAGTCATCGATTGGGCTTTGAGGGGGCAGGTTTGGGGAAAGAGATGGGGGAGGGGAGTTGAGGTGGATCTTCCATCAGAACATTCCAGACTCTTTGGGGTATATGGCTGCCATGGTGTCAGGGGCTGAGGTGGGGCTCTCTCTAGAACACTTAGGTCCTCTCCAAGGGCAGCAAGCGCCATCTCACAAGCCCCAGTGCTCACATTCTTAAAAGAACACTGAGAATCATTTAGTTATTTGAGGAATGGGGATGAGATCTGTCAAAATTAGACATATGGCTCCATGTAAAGCTTCAAAGTGATACAGTTGAGCTTTCCCATGAGACATCCTACCATAGTAAGAACAACTCGCCAGAGTATTAATGTCTGGAAAACGTTTGTGTAGTGCAAATTCTAATTGGTCTTAACAATAAAAACCTGGAATCAGATATCAGAGTAAATACTAAAAGATCGGAGAAGTAAAGGAGCCAGCCACTAGAGAGACTTCTTTTCTCTTTTTCTTTTTTTTTTTTGAGACAGGGTTTCTCCATGTAGTTTTGGTGCCTGTCCTGGATCTCACTCTGTAGACCAGGCTGGCCTCAAACTCACAGAGATCCCCCTGCTTCTGCCTCTTGAGTGCTGGGATTAAAGGCGTATTGTAGATGTAACCAACAGTCTTATTAAATAAGAAACACAGAACCAATGCAAAGAAGAAAGCCAAGAGATCAGAGCTAAGAGCCTTACCCATCTGCTGCAGCTAGCCTCTTCAGCCAAGAGACCTACTTCCTGTGTTTTTGTCTTTATATAGATTTTCTGTTCTGCCTTCTCATTGGGTGTAAACCCAACCACATGACTGCCTCGTCATTGCCTGTCTGTACAGACCTCCAGGTCTTCTATGGTTGGTATTGAGATTAAAGGCGTGTGTCTCCAATGCTCAAACCAGGAGGAACTGAGATTCCCGTGAGCAGCCAGCTAAGAGAGCCTTCTTGGGAGCAGGCTGTACACCCTTATTTAAGCCCTTAGAGAACTGCAGCCTCAGCTCTCATGGCTGAAACTGACTTGGAGCCTTTCTGGGAAGCTGCTCCCAGACTCACGACCCTCAGGACCTTGGAGATAATATTCTGCTTTTCTTTTCTTTCCTTCCTTCTTTCTTTCTTCCTTCCTTTCTTTCTTTCTCTTTAAAAATAATTTATTTATTTATTTTATGTGCATTAGTGTTTTGCCTGCATGTATGTCTGTGTGAGGGTGTCAGATCTTGGAGTTACAAACAGTTGTTAGCGGCCATGTGGGTACTGGGAATTGAACCCAGGTCCTCTGGGAGAGCAGCCAGTGCTCTTAATCACTGAGCCATCTTTCCAGCCCCATATTCTGGTTTTCAAGCTGCTTGGTTTGGGATAATTCGTTACAGAGCTGTAGATAACTAATACAATGTCTCAACATCCCAAAAGGACTATATCTCTTTTTAAAAACAACACAAATATAAATTTTGTAGTGAGAAAAGAATTTTGAGAATGATCACAGTCCACTGAAATGAAACTTCAGAGGCATTCTTCAGAAGGCCGTTCTATCGTCCCAGCAGACATAGTAAACAATACAGCTCAAGCCCTGAGGTTAAATTCCTTAACCAGCTATGCAGGTATAGGTAATACAAATGGCCTCGGGATTGTTTGAGCCAAACAAAGGAACAGTTTTTTTTTTTAAACCATCGCTGGCACTGAATATCCAACCCAAGCTCTACAGGTGGACTGCAATAATCTATATCCAAAGCAGCCTGACTACCTGAGGTAGACTTAGGACACACACACACACACACTCACACACACACTCACACACTCTCCTAGAACTCACTATGTAGACCAGGCTGGACGACTCACACAGATCCTGCCTCTGCTTCCTGAGTTGCTGGGACTAAAGGGGTGCACCACCATACCCAGTGACTTGGAATATCTCTGAGATTATTTCCTTAATCAGGTCTTGGAATTTAGGGTCGTGGATCTGACGTGTGTTCCAGGCCCTCCGTTACACTGACTTGCCTCACTGTTGTTCAACATCTGCTGTGCGAGATCAACATCTGCTGTGTGAGATCTGAAGTGCTCTTCCTCCACTCTTCTGACAGATGATTGAGCAAGTGACTCAAAGACAAGAGCCAGAATACCATCAACCAATAGACACAGAAACTGAAAGTCAAATATTCACTATTGCTGTGATGGAATGCCAGGGCCAAAAACAACTTGGAGAGAAAAGGGTTTATTTGGCTTATGCTTCCACATCATTGTTCATCATCAAAGGAAGTCAGGACAGGAACTCAAGCAGGGCAGGAACCTGGAGGCAGGAGTTGATCTAGAGGCCATGGAGGAGTGCTGCTTACTGGCTGCTGTCCTTGGCTTCCTCAACCTGCTTTCTTATAGAACCCAGGATGACCAGCCCAAGCATGGCCCCACCCACAATGGGCTGGGCCCTCGCCCATCAATCACTAATTAAGAAAATGCCTTACAGCAGGATCTTCTGGATGCATTTTCTTATTTGGGGTCCCCTCCTCTCAGATGACTTTAGTTTGTGTTGTTGACACAAAACTAGCCAGCACACTATTGAAATCTCACCTCTAATCAAAGTCAGCAATAATGGTCAAGATCTTTTTAAGATTTATTTATTTATTTATTTATTATGTATACAGAAGAGGGTGCCAGATCTCATTACAGATGGTTGTGAGCCACCATGTGGGTGCTGGGAATTGAACTCAGGACCTCTGGAAGAGCAGCCGGTGCTCTTAACCTCTGAGCCATCTCTCCAGCCCCATCTTTACAACTCTTGATGTTCACCTGGGTGGCTTTCTTTGCCTGCAGACCAATAGGAAGGACTGAAATGAGGAAAGATCAGTAGTTTTTCTCCTGCTATAGTGGGGGAAACAAATAACCACAAGAAACACTTTTAAGGCCATTCGATTGATAAAGAATAATTTAATTCAGTAAGCCCATCGCTCTTGACAGCTCACGGGACAATTTGATTCCAA